CCTTCGGTGCAGCCACTTTCGCTTCCTTCTCCACCCAAGGGGCCACTTCGCTTCCTCGGTGGGGCCGGGGGACCCCAGGCTGGGAGGTGAGGCAGGAGGAGCCTGGGTGCAGGAGGGGCTCAGTGACACCCATGCTCCCAGCATGGGCTTTCTGCTTACTCATCGGGCAATGGGAAACCAAGTCCACATCCCAGAAGCGAGAGCTGCCGTACATCTCACGGCTGTTACTCATTAACCACCGGCACTTCCTGGCAGCAGACCGCAGCCCCCCACCCTTGGGGCCACCTCTCCCCCCATGCCTGGGGGACTGGGACTGCGAGGGACCCCACTCCTGGCCAGCTCCTATCTGCCCTTGGCGATTTCCCAGCCCAGTACCAGAGGCTGGTGGGGGAAGGAGCTGGGGCTGGCAGCTTGTGGGCACACATGTCCCTCCATCCTCTCCACCCTCCTTGTCCTCCCAGGCACTGAACAGAGATTTCCCTGGGGCTTTCTCAGGGACAGATGCTCAGAGGTTTTCCAGTGCTTGACACTCAGGACACCTGGGCTCTGCTTTAGCTTTGCCCCCACAGGGACGCAGCCCAAGAGACCTCGCTGCCTCTCGACACGCCTCAGTTTCCCCAGGGTGCTGGGGAGGCCATCACTGCTGGCGCTCTCTGGCCAAGGCAAGGGAACAGGACCACCGTCCCAGCCAGTGGGACGCTAGTGACAGTGCTGCAGGGAGGACACCATGGAGCTCGCATGGTGGCAGGGGCTGGCCACAGCCAGACGCTCTCTGGCAGTGAAAGCTCTTCTGATTCAGAGGAAGAGGAGCAGGGCCTTCCCCAGCTGACCCAGCCCCAGCGTGACTCACGGCATGGGGAGTCCAGGCTGGATCCAGCCCCCAGCTCCCACTCCAGGAGCTCGTTACTGTGGGGTCCGGGGGGTCTGGCACTCTCCACCACAGCCTCTGCCGGGCGCTTTTGCTTTGCCTCATGCACCCTTTGCCCCAAGACAGCAGGGTGCCAGCAGCTGCATCCACTTGGCAGCTGGGTGCTTTGGACTTTGGGCCTGGCAGCCCCACCAAGTGCCCGGCGAGGCATGGCCCAGGCTGCACCTCCACCTGCGTGACCAACAGGAGCCTCGATGCCTGCCAGCCCAGCCTGCCTGCAGCGCAGGCAGCTGCCCAAGCTCTAGCACGCTCACCCTGGAGGCTCTACAGGCCCCAGAGCCCCTTCGCCATCCCACCCCAAAACACCCCAGAGAGGGCATGTCCTGGCCAGCGCCGGAACGGACTGTTGCTCTGCTCCCCTCCAGAGATCCCAGCTCATCTGCTGGAGGATTTGCCATGCTGCCTGGACCCCTGCCCACGGCCGGAGCCCTGCAGCTGCAGGCAGCCCCCACCCTGAGCAGCCCCACTCTCCAGCGGGCAGCACGCCACCCCATCCCGCTGCCGGGCCGGGGAGCGGCGGGG